TTACCGTAAAGATATTGGATTGGCTCTAGTTTTCGAGCAACATAGGATTGAAGGTGCTGAAAAACCTCTTTTTGGACATTTTCGAGCATCTGTAAAACAATGAATTGATGCAATATATCTATCTGTGTGGGAGAATATGAAAGCATAATCATTTATTTATTTAGTCTATGAAACAATATTTCTTACAGACTAGTAGATAANTAAAATCTTCGCTAAGGTTATCTTAAAGCATTTATTTATGTTTAAAGATAAACGCGATAGAGAGCGTCAATATCGCATTGAAGCCTTACCTCGTCAAATGAATCTTTAATTATAGTGTATACCTTAAGATCATCTGCATAGAGTAAAAAATTTGCGAATGAGAAACAGCTACAAATGTCATTTTTAAAAAGGACGAACAGTAGAGGACCCAAGACTCTTCCTTGCGGCACCCCAGAGGAAGCCACAAAAGAGTCAGAAGACACACCATGAATGGTTACAACACAGGGTCTGTTGGATAAGTAGTATCTTATCCATTCCAAGAGGCATGAATGAAAACCTAGGCAGGCAAGTTTTTCGACTAGTATACTATGAGCGACTTTATCAAAGGCTTTCGAGAAGTCAGTATATATACAGTCCACCTGGAATCCAAAAGAAAACGCCTTTACGCAGTAGTCGGTGAAAACTGCTAAGTTTGAAACTGTAGACCGCCCAGAAACAAAGCCATGCTGGTTATGACAAATAAAAGATTTAGTAGCAAAGTACAGTTTATCTTTAACTACACACTCGAACAGTTTAGAAATAGTTGAGAGTTTAGAGATGGGCCTATAGTTCGTGGTTCTTACTACCTTTTAGAATAGGGGTTATGGATGTAACTTTCCATTCATCAATAAATATACCTGAAGCAAGAGACTTATTAAAAATGATTTTTAGTGGTTGAATTAGGGCAGAACATTTTTTCAATAGCAGGGCAGACAGACCACCAATATCAGTTTGAGAAGAGGGTTTAAGGGAAGCTACCCCCTTCTTAATATCTTCTGTTGATAACGTCAGGGAGCCAAAATTAAGGCTCGAATTGATATCACAAGAAATGTTAGCTGTGGTGCTACTATCAGCGGAAACAAAATTCGACCTAAAAAAGTCGGCGAACAGATTAACCACATCTTCTGGAGACTCAGCAAAATTATCGTCTAGGAAAACTGAAGATGGGATATTTGAACATGACCTCTTGGATTTGATATAAGTCCAAAAATATTTCGGGTTAGATTTAATGCTCACCTCAGCAGATCGAATGTAATTTTTGTGGAGGTATTTGTCTAAGCGACTAAATTCTTCTGAGTGTTGTTGGTATTTAAGAAACAAATGTTGTGTTGTTGTTGTTGTAGCGGCTACAACAACCCCGCCCAGATCGGTTGGTATCTCAGTCGTTGTCGTCAAGTTCCACTAACGGCAACCCTAGGAAGCGTGCAGCTTCTGTGGGATCTGTCCACAGGGACAGGGCCGTTAGGGTAGTCGGGTTTTCCGGACA